GGCCCGGAAGCAATCACCCGTCATCTTCACGCTCCTCGCACACCACGGCGTCGTCAGCTCCCTCGGCATTTGGATCAACGACCCGACCATCAACAATATCAAAATAGGGGCTGATACCTTCGTCCTTCAACACCACGTCCGAGTTGACCACCTTAAGCTGGGCAACGGCGGTCTTAAAGCCGACACCCATGGCCTCGAGACAGTCGGCCTCCAGAGTCCGGATCTTCCCCACCAAGTCAGCCCGAGTCACCAGCTCCCTTTCGTCGTCAGCCTCGTCGTCGGCGGGCTGAAACCTCTTCTCCACGTCCTCGACGCGGAGACTCGAGAAATCGCGGTGAAAGGGATTTAAATACAGATAACCGGAAATTTGGCCTCTAGATGCAGTGATATGCAATGATATGGACAAAATAACACGAACTATAATGCTGACAATGCCATGAATATAGTATGATGCGTATGATGGAATGATGAATGCAAGGATGCAGACGACACAACGTCAAAGGGGACAGCGCATCGAAGAATTGCACTGGGGAAGAAGACACGCGGTGGTGACAAGGTAACATAGGATCCACACGGAGACAGGACCAGGTAAACGACAAACGCTAGAGTTTTCGGGACATTCCTTGAAGAGATCGAGCGGGATCTTCAGGACTCACCGGAAAACATATAGGGAGAGACAAACATCAGAACATTTCGGAAGAACGTCGAAAAGGAGACACGTTGTATCTGGAAGAACGTCAGATAGACATGACACGAAATAGTTGATGGGTGCCAAGTAAACTGGACTTTGTCCACAAGGTAAGACACGGATAAAACACGACCTCGGGGAGAAAAATGCAAATGGGGATAAAACACCCATGCTGTCAAGTAACTAAATTCGTCCACAAGGTAAGACGCGGATAAAACACGACCTCGGGGAGAAAAATGCAAATGGGGGATAAAGCACCCATGATGCCAAGTAAATAAATTCGTCCACAAGGTAAGACGCGGGTAAAACACGACCTCGGGGAGAAAAATAAAATGGGGATAAAACACCCATGATGCCAGGTAAATTGGACTTCGTCCACGAGGTAATACGCGGGTAAAACACGACCTCGGGAGAAGAAGAAAATGGGGATAAAACACCCATGATGTCAGGTAAATTGGACTTCGTCCACGAGGTAATACGCGGGTAAAACACGACCTCGGGAGAAAAAGCAAATGGGGATAAAACACCCATGATATGCACATGTGTATAAATCATGCTATGATAGATGATCAAATGACAATGCAGATGTCGACGACAAGGCTCGACTCTGTTGGTAAGATGACAAGACTGGAAAACTGATTCCTCAACCCGGAGATCACTGCCACTTGCTAAATTGTAATCAGGTTGATGGTCCTCGTAGGAAGGATGGAAAGCCGCTTGGAGATCTTTCAAGTAAACTGCCCCAGATTAAATTGTCCATTACAGATGAACTGATAATTGCTTCAGCTTGTCTGATTCTGAAAATGACTGTTTTACTGTACCCTCGGAAGGTTTGCCCCAGTCCAAGTCTTGAAAATCTCATGGATAAACCAGATCTGAGAAGAATTTTCCCCTGATAGGATCACTTAACCAAGTTTCTCGATTGTTTGAAATTTCCTTAGAGGAAAGCCAGTTTGCAAACAAAAATATTCATACAAACATGGTAATGCAATGTTCATGCAACTTTTGAAATCAAAATTATTTTTGAAAGATGAAAAATAAATGAGTCATCGATTAGAACACGGCGGTCCAGGACGCTCTAAGTTTAATACAGGTATACGACTAAAATAAATGATTCACAAAGATCTTTAGGAGTCAGCTTACGCAACCTTGCTGTAGCATGCTTTCATAATATCCTTGTTTCAATTAGGTCTTTTGAGGGTTATGACGTGGCCTGGTTCACGGTTTATGAAACAAAGGATAAAGGCTCAAAATTTGTTTGTTCCCACCCAATCTACGTGATAATCTTCAGTCCTACGCTCAGTTAACTCATATTATGCATTCAGGTTCCTATAGGTTAGGAATTGCACTGATGGTAGTAATGATGGTTCGAAAGTCAAAGGACTCTTGAGATGGTCGTCACTACTTTCCTATAACATTTGGTTGTTTTGACATTTAGGATTTTTAGGGTAAGGATTTAAAACTCCTCTCTGCATTATCCCTAAATTTTGCCTGAGCTATTTCTTGTAAAGATTACATTCAGCGGGATGCCCCAGTTTTGCCTAAGTCTCCTTTATAGGTTTTGACTTAGCGGACTTTTTTTTTTTGAAAGAAAGTGACTGCCTAGCTTAATGATCACGGTGAACCATCATCGGCTTTTGACTTGGAAAACATCTTCGACACTTACTTGCTGTGTACGAAGGAAAACTTGTGAATTCAACCTTTATATGAAAGGTGTATTGCAGGAAAGCACAACCGAGTTAACTGAGAACTACCCATCCCCAGGCTAAGATTGAGGGTTTTTTTGTAAAGAAAGAAACTCCAACTTCTAGGCTCGAAGGGGGTGACAAGGGGATAACTTCCTTATTTCTCCAGTGTTTGGGAGTTGAAACAATGCCTCACATCATCAACAAGGATTCATTGAAAGCATACTGACAGCAGTTATGGGTATAACGTTTTCGCCATCCTCCCTCCAATCTTTGCATACCCAAAATTCGGACAAAAGTAAATATTTGAAAGATAAAGCATAGAGATGAAAATAATAGATAAAATGAATTAAATCAAAAGTTGCAATGCTCAGTTCATCAATATAAAAGTACAAACATAGTTCGAAAGCAAACAGCTAATAAAATAAGGAAAATACAAACAATGAGAAACAAAGGTCTGTGATTAAAACAATACAAAGATAAATTGTCATGTCTAAAACAAAGAAATAGCCTGCTGAGGTCAGCCCGAAGCTTCACTTCTGATGCCCTGGCAAAGGATTCTTCTGGATGTTCGGAGGATTGTCTGGAAAATCAAGTATCCCTGCTCTCATAAGCTCACGCACTCTGGCTTTCAGTGCAAAACAATGCTCCAAGTCGTGGCCTAAGGCACCCTCATGAAAAGTGCACTGGAAATCAACCTTAAATCCAGCTGGAGGAGGTGGTAAAGCCCTTGTAGTGATCAACCCTCGTTGAACCAGGTAAGGATAATGTTTTGTGTAAGTCATGGGAATAGGATCAAATTGATTCCTATTTCAATACTGGTCTTGTCTAATAACTGGACGTTGAGGATTCTGAGCTGGCTGCGGAGCAACAACAGGTTGAGATCCCTGGCGAGGCTTTCTTGATTCAGTCATGACAGCATTGGTCTGCTCGTCCTTCCTCTTATGGAAATTCCCATAGGATTTCTTTGCACCATTAGAAGATTCGGCAGCTTTGGATACCTTCCCATTTTTCAAACCTTCTTCTAACCTTTGGCCAATAGTCACAGATCTGTAAAGCTTGAAGAGACACTCCCAATCATCTTTTCCCAATAGAAAGGAGACAAAGTATCCATGAATATTTCTGTCAGTTCCTTCTCTGCTATAGGGGGTTCGACTCGGGAAGCTAACTCCCTCCAACGCTGAGCATACTCCTTGAACGACTCTTTTTCCTTCTGAGACATACTTTGAAGTTGACGACGATCGGGAGCCATATCCAAATTGTATTTGTATTGCTTCATAAAAGCGTTGACAAGATCTTGGAAGCAGTGGACACTGTTATGCTCTAAGTTCATATACCATTTAAGAGAAGCACCACTCAAACTATCCTGAAAGCAATGGATGAGCAACTTCTGATTGTTGGTGTAAGCTGCCATCTTTCGAAAGTACATGACTAGATGGGCTCTTGGACATGAATGACCTTGATACTTCACGAACTCAGGAGTCTTGAACTTGGCAGGCAAAACAAAACCAGAAACTAGGCACATATTATCGGCATCAACATTGAAAAAATTTGTCTGTTGATTGGTGTTATAAAAAATTTTGTCTGTAGATTGGTGTTATAAGAAAATATTAATGTAACGAAAATATGTTTATGTATATTTCGAAAAATATTAATGTAAATTTTTTTTTCCACATTAATATATATATTAATAAACAGATTTTATAAACATATTAGTATATATATTAATAAACAGATTTTATAAACATAAGTATATATATATTAATAAACAAACAGATTTTATAAACATACTAAGATTTTATAAACATAACAGTATATATATTTATATACTAAAATTTTATAAACATAACAGTATATATATTTATAAACAGATTTTAGATTTTGGTATTAGTATATTAATAACAGATTTTATTAAAATATTAGTATTATATTTATTAGTATTAGAATATTAATAAACAGATTTTAATTAAAATGTTAGTATTATATTTATTAGTATTAGTATATTATAAAACATTATATATATATTTATAAACTATTATAAAACAGTATATATTATATTATAAAACAGAATATTTTATAAACATATTAAAACATATGTGTATTATATTTATTAAAATATTAGTATTAAAACAGTAAATATTAATTAAATAGTATTAAAACAGTATATATATTATTATATAAAACAGTAAATATTAATATTATATATTACTTAATTAAAACAGTATAAATTAATTAAATAGTATTAAATAATATTAATTAAAACAGTAAATATTAATTAAATAGTATTAAAACAGTATATATATATATATTATATATTTTTATTTATTATAAAATTATTTCAATATAATTATAATTTTAAAAAAAATAATATAATTATAATTTTTTTTTGATTGCATAGTAAAAAAGTAAAAAAAATAATTAAAATGGATAATTTTGAAATATTTTAAAAAAATTATAAATAGGATAAAATTTTGATTAAGTGAAGGGAGTATAATAATCCGAATTACCTTTCTGGCCCAATCCATCCGATACGACTTGTTCTCTAACCTACCTATAAATAGGTTTCTTTCTCTGTTGCACAAAAGCAACCATAAGGATTTTCTTCATCAATTATACTGCCGATTTCCATGCCTCATTCTGAAGCCGTGCTGCTGCAGCAGCTATTCAATTATGCAAATCAGACTTCAAAATCAATGGTATGTACTGAATCATTTATATTACGTTTGTTTTGAATTGAATTCGAATGAATTAAACTGAATAAAATTATTTTCTTAATGAAGAAGAACTCAGGTGTTACCGAGGATACACTAGGGTATCTTAATGCAGTAAAAGTTGCATTTGAAAATAACATGAAAAAGTATGATCGGTTTTCAGAAGTCCTAAGAGATTTCAGTGCTAAAAGAATTAATACAAGTGGTGTGATAGAAAAATTGAAGAGCTTGTTTAAAGAGCATAACTATTTAATTTTGGAATTCAACACCTTCATGCCATCTGAATATGAGATCAAGAGCACTGGTTAGTACTAACTTATTGTCTCTTGTTTTCTATCAATATTATATCTCATTTAAGTTTTAGAAATCCCTTAACATTTGTCATCCTTTTGATATAAAGGAAACAAATTAAAAGATAATGGTCATCCTGGTCAAGTTCTTCATTGGGATGTGCTTGATATCATTTGCAAACGATTAGATTTTGAAGACCTCTTATCGTTTTCTGGTGTTTGCAAGAATTGGAGGACTTTTCATAAATCAAATTTTTTCTTGTCAGAACCATTGCTCGTTCGTATGACTCGTAGTTATGATATAGGTGCTGGTGCTGACTCATATTCCTTTATTAGCATGCCCAATCAAAAAGTTTATGATTTGAAGATGATGAGTAGCTTCCAGTCCTCCGCCTATCTCTATGTTAGATTTTCCAGCGGATATTTCATCTTCTCCCATAAAAGTAATTCATTTGTGCTATTCAATCCATTTAAAAGAAAAAAAATGGTAATCAATGCCCCCTTTACAGTTGAATATATGACTCCTAATCGGTACGAATCCTTGCTTGCCTTTGAGAAATGCTCAGAGGAATATGTCTTGGTGGTTTTATGCAATGAGTCTAGCCATTTGTATGTCTATCGGTCTCGAGACTGTAGTTGGTTTATTTATTCAACATTTGAAGAGGAGGTGGTGGTCAACTTTGTGGTTTTGAATAATATAATATATCTTGTCACTAACAATGTCAACATAGGGGTACTAAACTTGAATTTTGGAAATATTCAATTTTTAAATCTCAAGAATACTCCCAAGAAAGATCCCTCAAATTCCTTTAAATTGGTTAATTGTGATGAGCAACTTTTACTGCTTAATTTAAGATCCTCCCGCTCACGTAGGGAAGTTTACAAGATAGACTTGTCCACCATGAATTGTGTTAAGATGAAAAGTTTGGGCGACATTGCATTATTTTATGTTTCTTGGAAACACTGTCAGGCATTGAGCAATCCCGAGAGATTTGGGTATGAGAGCAACCATGTGTATGAAGCTAATAGACTATTTAATGAATGTGACAAGTATGATTGGAATGATGGTCGTCCATCAACAATATACCCACATCCAGGTCTTCTTAAAGACTTCATTATCTTTGATTGGTGCTTTAGACATGTAAAATATGAAGTAGATTATTCTTTAGTTGAATAGTTGTTACACGATGTTAGGACTATTTATGTTTTTCTCCACATTGAGGTTATGTTCGAGACTTCAATTTCTTTGATGGTGTCTTAAGAATATTTTAATTAATTTTATTTTTTATTAATTAGGATTATAATAAACTTAATTTTTATTAGTTTTTTTAATTATTGATTGATTTATTATATTATTTATATATAATATAAATTTGTTTTATATTTTTACACTACTAGTCTCCCTCCTATACAAAAAACGCCACACCCCACTTTCTTGTTTTTTTTTCAATTTTTCTTTTCCTACTATATGTAACACCCCTTTCTAAACCTCGCAATTAATTCAAATAATCAGAGTAAAATTAACATGCATAAGGGCGTCACACTTAAAATTTTCAAACACCTGCCATACTCATTAGCAACAATAATAGATGGTCATGTTTTACAAATTCTCAATTTGCAAATTCATTTATCCAATATTTTCATAAAATAAATATCTGTTTTCATCACATAATCCAACAACAATCGGGCACTAAGGCCAATTTCTCGTTACTTCAACAAATATGAAAACATAACGCATTTCTATAAACATAACCAAGCGATCCCAGTGTTACATAACTAGAGCATGACTCGACCCAACTTAATTAAATCACTAAACAGCTAAACCGATAGCGACCTCGCACTACAAGCAGCTCTACTCTGGATACCTGCACGATGTCATATAGGACATCATTCCAGCAGAAGGGTGAGAAACATTATCATAAAATCAATGCATATAATTATGTACATAAACAATCATGAAATACATACATGCCACATTTCTCACCACTTCACATATTCAATTCACACATACTTCCTCATTTACATATTCACGTAAACTAACATTATTAATCATCAAACATATTATCATGCACATAGCATACTTTCATATAACATTATTATACTATCCACTCTTAAATCAATATCTCATGCATATACGCACGCTTCTCCTAACAATCACATATACCACATTTTCAATTATGCAAGTCATGTACATACACGTGAGCACAACTCTAATCAACAATTCTATCTATGCCATATGACTCGCGTGAAGCCCATCAATTCCACCAATTCCCCGTTCGGGCCTGTGGGTATATCACTCATACCCCACCAGGAACAACACATAGTCGTTCTACCCCGGTGATCGCTCCACTGGGAACGACATCATGTCATTCTACCCCAGTGTTCACGAGCCTTACACGTATTCACGATTTTCGATATCATCAACATAATTTACTATACAATGCACATATGTTCATGATATATTTTCATGCATTTTTCACTTACAATTGCACATAAAACAACATTGCCTTACAATATTTATCAAGCAACGCATACAATATGTTTATTTCAACACTGATTCACATAAACGTCAACACATACATATATCTATACATATACATATATCATTTAGCATATTCAATCATGTCATTCATCACAAATCAAATCAATCCACATAAACATACACATACTATGTTTATATACCCTTGCTCCATGGCAATAATGATAATGCAACTCATAGAGACCGACTTACGACTCTATGCAGATGCAAATGCGGTACCGACTCAATTCAGCAAGTTCAATTGAAGAACCAAATGGAACCATCGCTCGTTACCGAAGTAACTCCCCGTCGGGCCTACGATGTTCACCCATTGCTCACACCCCACATGGGCACACAATGTTTATGGATTGCTCACACCCCACAAGGGCACACAATCGTTCTGCAGATTCTACGCGGAATCAAATATAGACCATCGCTCACACCCCACATGGGCACACGATGTCTCTGCAGATCCTACACGGGGTCAAATATAACCATCACTCACACCCCACATGGGCACACGAGGTTCTGCAGATCCTACACGGGATCAAATAACACAAATGCATATCATGATGCTTCACATGCAAACATGACTCATGCATCTATCACATTTCACTGCATACATTTATTATACGTTCACAACATATATATCATAATGCAAATATATATATTCATCATTTATTCCACACCAATTCATACATGGTTCTCATACAAAATGGCTCAATCAGTTATAGAGAATGAAGCTAATCTCAAGAGATTTGGGTATGAGAGCAACCATGTGTATGAAGCTAATCTCTTATATAGAGAATGTGACAAGTATGATTGGAATGATGGTCGTCCATCAACAATATACCCATATCCAGGTCCTTTTGAACACTTCATTGTCTTTGATTGGTGTTTTAGACATGTAAAATATGAAGTAGATTATTCTTTAGTTGAATAGTTGTTACATGGTGTTAGGAGTGTTTTTGTTTTTCTCCACATTGAGGTTATGTTGGAGACTTCAATTTCTTTGATTGGTGTCCTAAACATTTTAAATATGAATGTGAATGTGAAAATCAATCTTTCAATGATTATGTTGTAATCTGAGTGACAGAACAATTATAATAATTTGTCATGTAAAATATACAACCATCATGCTTATGTCTTTAATATTTTATTTTATTTTTGGTTCAATATTGTATATACTAATTTGCATGCTACAGAATACAAGTTATAGAACAATGTCAACCAAATATAAAGTATATATGTACTGATGGTGTGATGTTTTTGAATTTGTTTCTGAGCTTCAGAATAATTTTACTGAGTCTCTTCTATTCAAGCATTTTAGGATTCATGCATTGCTAGCAAGTTCTATTCAAGTATTTTAGGATTCATGCATTACTAGCAAGAGTCTCTTCTATTCAAGTATTTTAGGTTGTTGGTCGGAGGCAACTCCCGTAAAATATCTACATGAAAATCTATACTCAGGAACATTTTCAAAAGGTCTAAAAGAAACTCTAAGATTCCTTTACTATATTAAAAAAGATCTTTAGTAGTGCTTTTTTTTGTCTTTAGCAATGCTTAAAACGCTGTCTAAAGTGCTAAAGGTAAAGGCAACGTTTTTTTAAAGTAAAAAATGCTGCTATAGGTTCACTTTTAGCAGCGCTTTTCCAGAAAAGCGCTTTCTATTCTCCCCACTTTTAGCAGCGTTGCCTAAAGTGTATTTGCTTAATACTACAAAAGCGCTCTCTATTGCCTCCCTATAACAACACTTTTGAAAAGCGCTACCTATTTCCCCTCTTTAAAAGTGCGACCTATCCCCCCATTTAGCAGCGCTTTTATAAGCGTTCTCTTTTCCATCACTTTTATCCCCTATAGCGGAGTTTTTTGGAGCGCTCTCTATACCCCCTTTTAGCGGCACTTTTTTAAGAAAAGCGTTGTTTTTTCTTCACGTCATTGATTTTCTTTAAAAAAAATCACTTTTTCGTAGTGTTTTTTTAGTAAAAGCGTTGTCTATTTTTCATATTTTTTAGAAATGATTTTTGTTGAATTATGCTGCACCATTTGTTATAATTTTTTTCGATAAACCTATTTATAACAATTACATTCACATGTCTTTATTTCAACACTTTGGCCTTATACATACCATAATCATTGTAATATATTCAACACCTAAACCTGCTTATAATTCAACACAAGCCGATCCTCACAACAACTTCACAAATACATTCACTATACATATAATTACAAAACCGATAACTTTACAAATGCATTCACTATACATATAACTACAAATTCCATATTTCCGGATCCTCGCAACAACTAACTTCTAGATCGAAATATATCAACAAATTCCAAAACTACATACGACTTCCAGAAATATAATTATCCAGTAGTGTGTACATAACATCATAACAACACAAATCTCTATAAACTTCGATGATCAAAAGATAATATATATACCTTATACAATTATAAACTCAAGAATGTATTGACACCATTCCTCCTTAATTTCTTTCAATTTGTCTTTCGAGTAAGTACCACAATTGAATTCATCAAAGTACTACATAATACAACATAATATGCATGATTTAGTTTTAAAACTAATTACTCAGATGAAATATCGGTTAAATACTAAAATAAATCATATAACTTATAAATTCATACCATGTTTGGAATCTCTATTTGACCTGAATGAATAATTTCTTTCATAAACCTCAATACATAATATCTGCAATCAATCACATTGCACTGACGAGGACACCGTAAATAGAAAAACCAAACAAATATTTATCAGGATATATAGTTTATCTAGTTTTATCAAGTAGAATCATTATAACAGTCAAAATCGTGAAAATATACCTGCATTCTGATCCAGCTAATGTTGTTAGCCCTCCTTTTTGGCACTGTTGCTTGTCTTTGTGATCAGAATATTTGTGTAACTCTAACATAATATAAACGAATATTTAGAACAATCTCACATAATAAATAAAGATAATTATTCAGAACAATACATCTCATCACTTACGTATCAACAATGTTCTTCATATCAGGATATTTTGTTTGATCACCATCCAATGAATCCAGATAATACACTATTTCTTTTATCGGATTAATCGCAACCAACAACCAGTGTCCACTGTAAAATAAGACAAAAGTTTAAATATAAATGTTATATAGAATGACAAAAAACGAATAATTATAATAAATGAATTTTGAATGAAATCTAACCCATAATCAGTATTATATGGCAAAAAATACAACTTCTCTGTATCTGCGGCCATAAATGCTTGGACTAAGTAATTTCTGACTACATCTGGAGTGTGATCGATTGACCGTGCATTGATACCGCTAGAAGATAAGAATGTGAATCTCTCTGTCAATTGATGCGGGACCAACAACTTGTCATACAAGAACCTTAAATAAAAACATAATCAACATTAGAATATTCATTGAAATAAGCAAATAAATTGTTCAATTATTTAATTAAAATTGATCGGAGTACCTGATGTATGAATGCATAGCACCGATGCCTAATTCAGAATGTTGGAAAATCTGATTCAAATCCTTTTTAGCAATTGTTTCGGCATAAGCAAAACCAAAAATACCTTCCTCCATAGGTATTTGACGAATGTCACCCTCCACCACATCTGTTGTTCCTACATATGTTTTAAGAAACAACCTAAATCGAGGAACAAGTGCATTTTTTGCCTCGGCCTTTTTTTTGTTGGACACCTTGATAGATTCAGGCATCTTACCATTGCTCACTTGTTCCTACATAGGTAATTAATGTATAAGATCGTAAAGCTATTGAAATCAAAGGATATAATTGACATTTTCTATGCATATATAAATATATATATATATATATATATATATATATATATATATATATATATATATATATATATATATATATATATATATATATGTGTGCATAGTACCTGTTTTTTTGATGCACAGGTACTATGCATATATATATCCTAATAAGTGGAATTGACTACACGAATCAAACTCTTATAATGTTCTATCAAAAATCACAGTTTTATCCATCTCATTAATCTTCATACACTTATTCCAAAGTGTTATCAAATAGCGGCGCCATGACTGCTATGTCGGATATACATGGCTGTTTGAGTTCGCCATAATCATAATCCGCTATAATGGCGCGACAAATGTGAATGAGGGAAAGTTTTGAACTTTGAACTATGCCTGAAGATTGCACTGTTGCAGAAAAGGGTGGTCGAAATTCAAAAATTTGGTCCAATAACTTTTATATCTGCCCATTGCAATATCTAACCATGGCTTCCTAATACCATCATAGTGTATAACGACAGCTTGCTCAATCTCATTTCGATCAACGCCTGAGTTATGACCAAGGCCAAGAATGTGCCATCGTCTGTCCAAAATCTCTGTCTTGTTATAGAAGGTGAGCCAACCTAAAGGAGAACGTCCATTGTTCTTCCATAATGGCTTCTCAGTACCCTGCAAACATTCACCCCAACAAATACTTAGATATCAAAGAAGCTAAAAAAATAAGCTTATGTGACAAAATAATTAAAACAGTCTGCATATCAATTTTTCATATTTAATAATAATCATAAAAATCAAAATATCAAAGTTTTTCTCATCAGATTCACCGTGATTTCCATTACCGACGAGCATGCTGGCCGACACGGTGGTCGAAAAGCTGAACAACCACTTCTCTTCTTTCTAATTATCTCAGTAGTTGCAGTGCAAGCAAGAGTGGTTCTACAATCCATACCACCATATCCTCCTGAACCAGATGAAGTCTGGTTCAAACCAGCCGGTTCGAGAACCGAGTCAGGAGTCATTAAACAGTTGTCGTGTTCAGAATCAGATAACGGCATGTAGTTGCATTCAAAAAGGTAGCCAGATAATGTACCCAATGTCTTCATAAGGTGACTCACCTGTAAGAAAATAATTATATCAGATTGAGCAAGGAAAGACAAAAAAATAAAGTTTGTGAAGTTATCTATACTAAATAAATATAATATATCTGGGGAAATCCATGAAGTAGGTATCGCAAAATAAAAGTATATTTAATGCAGAAAAAGTGTGCCACTTGCTTGGGGAACTGAAAAATTATTAAAACACATTATGTGATACAAATTATTAAAATAATGAAATTCATTTTTGTGCAAAGAAGAGTTTCGTAGTCTTGCTCTCATGGCTATAGTCCATCTCTTGCCATTGCCATCAAAATTCGTGGCTGCGAAACATCGACTAATATTTAGTGTTTTCGTTTGGCAAATTGAAATAAGGAAGAATTGTTTTGGCAATATCAGAGATATCCGACAATTTACCTGTGGAAGTATCCCACCCATCAATGCTGAGATGAGAGTTGTGCAAGCTCCGGCATTTATAATGTAACTGCAGTCAAAGATAGTAAACTCATCTTTGGAAACTATCTTTATTGAGCCAAAAAAAGAAACTTGATAAAAATTTCGCGAAAACTATAAACTTACCCGATTGCATATAAATTCCACAACATAGGAGACCAGCATATAAATTCCACAACATAGGAACAATGAAGCACCGATGCCTAGTGGCAAATCTCGTTGAGGATTTCTCACCTGTTGATTAAGTGAAACATTATCAGCAAGTTTAAACCATTGGATGCGAAAGAGCCACACACATAAATTACGATAAGAAGGAAACAAAACTGCATTCATGGAAGTTATCGGTGTGTGGCAACATGACAATGCACTATACCTCTTCAGCAGTACTGGCAACTGCATCAAAATAAGCAAAAATTAACGGAAAAGTTAAAAGAACACTGTCCAAGATTAGGGGTTACGCCACGTGCAACAGTTGCGGCACCAATTGTATATTCCAGTATCAAGGACCAGCCAATCAACCAAGCAACACTGAAAACAAAGTAATCAAATTCTTTTATGAGACCATGTTAAATAAATTCACAGACCTCAAAATCAGTTTCACATAAGCTAATCCAAACACACACCAAATGAAAATGACTAAGAAAAACAAACCCTTCTCCAAGACATATGTATGAATAGTGATACGCGCTTCCGGCAGAAGGACATCGACAAGCCAACTCCGCATAGCAAAAAGCAGAAAGACCAGCTGCTAAGCCAGCAATCAGAAAAGAAATAGCCAAAGATGGTCCAAAATGCTCTCTAGCTACTGTTCCAACCAAAACATACACTCCAGCACCAATTGTTGAACCAACACCTAGTTATTTTATTATCATAAAAAAAAACACATCAAATTCAATTTCCAAAACACAGTTAGTATAATAAACCAAATCATGTGCTCAGAAACAGAAAACACCAGTTTCATGTTAACAACATGAAAACACAAACCAGACAATTTTCCTAGGTGCCAAAACAGATTATCAAGAAACCCAGATGAAAAAAAAAAGATAAAAATTAAAACTTTTTAAGTTGAATTGAATGAATTACCAATTGCAATAAGATGAGGAATAATTCACTCCTGTGCAAGCAGAGGTTTAGTGTTTTTACTTGCAGAATTAACCTGCTTCTTTCTAGTGAAAAATCTCCATGAACCCTTTTGTGATGGTGAATCACCCTAAACACCCATCAAATAAAAGGGAAAATTGAGGTAATGATTGTCCCAAAAGATTAGATTTTTGAGCACTGTTGGAACCAATCAACAAAGTAGGAGAAAAAGTGATGTAAAGGTGATGAATTTATAAAGTGGAAAAAAACCTCGACAACAACAATTTTGTGTTTCTCATAGAGTTTGTCGGTGAGGTTACGCAGCATGGTCAACAGCATCACCGAGAGAGCTTCCTCCATGAAAACAGCTTCAAGAATTCTAATACAAACCAAGAAGTGATATTGCATCATAGTTATATTCATCTCAATAATGTCAATATATTTCACTTCATTATAATTAAATTTGTTTAAGGAATACAACCTGTAACTTGAACTAAATCTTTCAATCAGAAAAACAAAACCGACACGGTAGAGGATGCATAAGCATAACTCAACACATAATCAGTATTACACACATAATAATCATAGAATTTTCAACTAAATCAAAATAGAAATACAATTGATTCCCTGTATACTAAACACGCAGTGAGCCAAAGACCAAACTCCATTCACGCAAAAAACTGAATCAACGCGTAATTACCGGCAACTTTGTAGTTTTGCAAAGCAGAAAAATGAATATATATGCAGGATAACAGGAGATATATTGAGCTGAAAACATAATCAGCATAACTGCCTGTGCTATATATTGTATCATTCCAACATTGCTCTTAATACACATCAACCATTGATTTAAAAAAAAAAAAAACAGACAATGTATTAAGCAAACAAAGAAGTAGGCTATAGACAGTAAACAACATCGAGTCACAACATAAAACGGTTCCAACTTCTAACGACGTTCTCGGTTTGAAATGTTACCAAAAAGTGTGAGCTGTTAATTGGTAACTGAGTATCCATGGCAGGATGATTGTGTGTGAAGTACGGTGACTCCTATCCTAAGGCTATGATAAGGATAAGGATTTAAAAATCTTGAGGTTGACATGACAGTCCACGGGAGGACGCGTCATCCTATAGAGTTGGATACCACTAAACAGTAGAATTAAAAAAATGAATAGTAGCAAGTGTGTAAACATCAAATTGATGCGGTCAAATCGTAATGGATAATTGTCATAAGAGTTAATTCCCACTGATTGAGTTACGCAGAATATATGAGGTAGGAATTACGATGAAAAAATAACGAAAATAAAGATCAAAAGTCAATTAATTGGGCACGAAAATTGTCAGCATAAAAAAAACTTATTAAACTATATTAATTTCATTAATAACCAATTAATCTTAACCAAAAAGAAATCTAGAAATTTTAATAAGGGCTCATCAAGATTTATTGATAAAGTTAAATAATAAAATTTATTTAAACATCTAAATAATCTCTAAGTTAAAATCAAGTTTAATATATATATATATATATATATATATATATATATATATATATATATATATATATATATATATATATATATATATATATATATATATATATATATATATATATATATATATATTGTTTTTGTTTGGTTTTGGAAGTTAAATAAATTTTATTAGTAAATATTTAATCTAAAATTACATGAATTAAAATTTAATTAACAATTAATGATAGAATTTTTAAAAAACTTCAAATTAGAAAAGAAAAAAAAACTAAATGTATATATATTTTCTAAAACAATGGGTCCAAACACAGAAAAAAAATTGGGCCGGGTTGGAATAGGTGGGTCGAGTCAACCGTCTCGACAGCTTTAAAACATGGTTCACTCAAACAGTGGAACCCTAAATCTCACCGGTCGTTCTATCCTTGATTTTACCCTCTTCCCATTCGATCCTCTTTCTCTCTGACCTCATGCTTCATTCTGAAGCCACACAACAACACAAATCTCTATAAACTTCGATGATCAAAAGACAGAAAAACAATATATATATATATATATATATATATACACACATTATACAATTCTCAACTAAAGAATGTATTGACACCATTCCTCCTTAATTTCTTTCAATTTGTCTTTCGAGTAAGTACCACACTTGAATTCATCAAAATACTACATAATATAACATAATATGCATGATTTAGTTTTAAAACTAATTACTCAGATGAAATATCGGTTACAAACTAAAATAAATCATATAACTTATAAATCCATACCATGTTTGCAATCTCTATTTGACCCGAATGAATAATTTCCTTCATAAACCTCAATATAAAATATCTGCAATCAATCCCATTGCGCTGACGAGGACACTGTAAATGGAAAAAAAAACAAATATTTATCAAGATATATAGTTTAACTAGTTTTATCAAGTAGAACCACTATAACAGTCAAAATTGTGAAAATATACTTGCACTCTGATCCAGCTAATGTTGTTAGCCTTCCTTTTTGACATTGTTGCTTGTCTTTGTGATCAGAATATTTGTATAGCTCTAACTTAATATAAACGAATATTTAGAACAATCTCACATAACAAGTAAAGATAATTATTCAGAACAATATATCTCATCACTTACGTATCAACAATGTTCTTCCTATCAGGATATTTTATTTGATCATCATCCAATGAATCCAGATAATACACTATTTCTTTTATCGGATTAATCGCAACCAACAACTAGTGTCCACTGTAAAATAAGACAAAAGTTTAGACGGAAATGTTATATAGAATGACAAAAAATGAATAATTATAATAAATGAATTTAGAATGAAATCTAACTCATGACCAGTATTATATGGCAAAAAATAAAACTTCTCTGTATCTGCGGCCATAAATGCTTGGACTAAGTAATCTCTGACTACATCTAGAGTGTGATCGATTGACCGTGCGTTGATACAGCTAGAAGATAAGAATGTGAATCTCTCTGTCAATTGATGCGGGACCAACAACTTGTCATACAAGAACCTTAAATAAAAACATAATCAACATTAGAATATTCATTGAAATGAGCAAATAAATTGTTCAATTATTTAATTAAAATTGATCAGAGTACCTGATTTATAAATGCATAACAGCGATGCCTAATTCAGAATGTTGGAAAATCTGATCCAAATCCTCTTTAGCAATTGTTTCGGCATAAGAAAAACCGAAAATACCTTCCTCCATAGGTATTTGACGAATGCCACCCTCCACCACATCTGTTGTTCCTACATATGTTTCAAGGCATAACCTAAATCGAGGAACATATGCATTTTTTGCCTCGACCTTTTTTTGTTGGACACCTTGATGGACTCATGCATCTTACCCTTGCTGACTTGTTCCTACATAGGTAATTAATGTATAAGATCGTAAAGCTATTGAAATTGGAGGATATAATTGACATTTTCTATGCATATATACCTGTTGCGGTGGAAATAGGATATCAAACTATTAATTAGTTTGAATCACAATTCTTGATTCACAACCGCTCTTTGATTTATCCGAAGGAAAAGGTCAAAAGAGGAAAAACCTAATTTTGCATCGTAAACACAATGCGGGGAGAGACCTGGGTAAGGGGTTGGTTAAATTTAGGGAAGGTACTAGCATCCTAAACTTCTGTAGTACTCTACAGGAACCTTTTGTTTATCGTATGCTTTTTTATTTTTATTTATGATCTGCTTTAATATATATTGAGCTAAGGGATAAAGTGACCTAAAGACCTAAGGGTTAGTCCTAAGTTTACTCGGCAAGATTCGCATCTTGTGCCTACGTATCCTGGATAGGGAATGGAATCAGAGTAATCGTAGTTCCCCTCGAAAGGGAGGTTAGAAACGTCTTGACTATGGTCAAGGTTTCAATGGGGAATAAACGTATCTTAAGGACACGCTTACGTGGAGTCTTTGAAACTCCTATTTATATGTTGAATTTTTTAATTGAAAATTTACGGTTGAAATTAGGGATTTCACGGCGGGAAACCCTAAACAGAGTACGACGACTCTTTGACCTAATGCTAGGGTAAGGGCGTTTTCGTCCACGGCGGGACGCTTAAACT